TATATATATATATATATATATATATATATATATATATATGCCTAATCAAATGAGAACTAAATAGTTTGTGGTAATTGTGACATTCAAAAATAAGAATATAAGCAAGGGAAAGTCCCTCATAATTCCGTCGCTAAAAGGGTCTTCAGTCGCTGATAGTCCATCGGATAAAAGCTCGTAGGTAATGCTATCAACGATGAAAATAAGCGACGGATTTGTCAGGGTTACTTTCAACGAGGGAACAGATTCAACGACGGATCAGTGAGGGAAAAGATTCAGTGACAGATCAACTAGAGAACTTTCAGCGACGAATCAACGAGGGAACTTTCAAGTCCAATATGAGCCAATCATTTTAGACAATTAATGTTATTTACTAAAATAAAACAAAGGGTAAATTAATTAATTGTGTTGATTATTTAATTTGTTTTAATTAGTTTAATATTCCAATTTACTTTAATTAGTTTAATTATTTTAATATATGTATATACATATGCACACGAACCCACAAGGGACCAAATCTGGTGGCCTTCTCCGGCACCCACCACCACTCTAGTGATCTCCTCCGGTCATCTTGTCTGACCAAGAAGCCGTCTCTGATGATCGACCACTAAACACCACTTGTAATCATTCCCGGCAGCTAGCCTCATCTTTGTCCCTATGACCCCCTCACTACCTATCTCTCTTCCCCCATTCCCGCCACACTTGGTATCATAGTTGGTATTACAGTGGTACCACAATTGGTATCACAGTGGTCTCAAGAGTTTACTTGGTGAGTTTTGAGTATCAAATTGGTGTATTTTGGGTGTTACATAGTGTTCGTTGGAGGCCGAAGGTAGGAGAGAGAAATAGATAGAGGAGAGATAAAAAATATAAAATACCTAAAATGTTCTTTAATTATAATTTTAAGTCAAATTACCAAAAATATTAGTTTTCTAATTTATCCACTGATTTGTGGTTAAAATTAGATCTTACAGTTATTACAAACTAATTAGTTCTTCCTTGATTCCTTGAATGGACCCCTATATATGTGTGTGTGTGTGTGTATATATATATATATATATATATATATGAGCCTAATCAAATGAGAATTGTTTTGTTTGTGGTAATCGTGAGATTCAATCTCAACCACAAATCAAAGATTAAATTAGAAAATTAATAATTTTGATAATTTTAAGGGATTTTATAAATATTCTCTCTCCTCTCTTCGGCGAATCTTATTCCGATGAACTTTATGTGAACACAAGATACACACCGTGATACCTTCAAACGATATTCACTGTGATACCCAGATATACATATAAGATTCACAATATGATACCCTTTGTAAAGCAATGCAAATAACAAAAATGCACACTATGATACATATAATAAAACAAAGAAAATACATTGTGATACACGTGAAACATTATGAATGTTATCACTATGATACACTTTGATTCACATACGTCTTTACAATACGATATATATATATATATATATATTAGGTAATTGATATACTAGGTAATTAATTTTAATTAAATATTTCTTTCTAAAAAATCAATTAAATGTTTTGATTAATTTTCAAAAATAGAATTTCTTTGAATTGGTTCATACATACATACATATATATATATATATATAGGTTGGTTATTATACCCTTGACATTTGTGCAACCAATACAACTCAATCTCAACCGTCCATTTCATTTGATTAATATGTGATTTCATAAAAGTTATGATTGTTTCATAATATAAAGTATTGATCATAATTAATGAACCATATTCATCTTTCATAAATATTCAAATCATAATAAATGAACTCTCATCATTTCCATAAATATCTCAATTTATTGGGTTGCATTGGTTGTACAAATGCAACGGGTTGTATTTGAAACAAACTCTCTCTCTCTCTCTCTCTCTCTCTATATATATATATATATATATATGTTGAGAAAAGTTTTTCCTCTTTGCTAAAAACACATACACAATCTTGAAGATCTTTGAGTTTGAAGCTACCACTTTATTCGAGTAAAAGTATGTTCGTGTTTGAAACACTCTAGAGGAAACCTACCTGCTTATAAACCATAAGGTACAATTCTAAACATCATATGGTTTAGTTTCGTATTGAATAACTGATTACATGCCATCGGTTCCAATTGTGAGTTTTACTATTCTAATTTTTTTTAAATCAGGTAACTTTTATAGATGAAAATTTTATTTTTTCCGTTGTGATCATATCTGATTATCTTTAAAGCCTACATTTTGGTTACAGAATCTAGATATAGTTGACGAGCTTAATGAAACTCACAACTTATTCTGTCAGCTATACATGACTATTTGGTAGTGATTTAATGATATAAAAAATGGTTTATTCAGTAAGCTTCTAGGAGAGCTTTATGCATAAAGCCAAAAAAAATTCTTAAAGTTGTAATTCCTAATTAAAAAACATGCTTATTTCATTTATGAAAAAAAAAACCTCCCAAACAAAAGTCTTCGCAATCTATACAGACAAATTAATATATACATATAGTTTTATCCATACATGACTTAATGAAAAACCAACCAAACTGCCCCTTAGAGCATATCCAATCAACAAATGCCGTAAAGAGAGGTGAAATTCTCGAAATTTGAAGAATTTCCTAAAATGATTACTATGAGACTGAATTTTTTTTATTATATTTTCACCAATAAGAAACACTGATATTAAATGTCAATGAGAGAGAAATAATATTTTATTATACGAGTAAAATATTTTAATAATATAATTAATGTTGTAATATTCAAAATAAAGAATTTGTTATATTCTTCATTTTTGGAAAACTTTGAATAATCAGTTGGAACAAATTTTCCAAAAATGGAGAAAAATGAGATTTAGGGAAATTTTACTCAAATAGATTTCTAGAACTTTCTTCAAATACAGAAAACATGAAAGAGAGTAAAATTCTATAAATTAAGAGAACTCACCGTTAATGATTATTATCAGTGATAAACATTTTCTTCATTATATTTCCATCAATAACAAACATTATTGTTAAATGTTTATTAGCAAAAAATAATATTTTATTATATGTGCAAAATATTTTAATAATATAATTAATGTTGTATATTTGTTGGAGTTGAATGTAATTCTTTCTAGAGATTTTGAGTTTATATGCTCCACTTCTGGAAAAAAAAATTTGAGAACCTGTTTGGATCATTTTCAATGAATTGTCCAAAATAAAAAAAATAAAAAATTTGGTAAAATTTTGCTCTAAGAGATTCTCCAAAATGGATAAAGTATGAGAGAGTAAAAATCTCTGAGTATTGAATACTTCCAAAAAATTATTAACAAAAACAATTTTTTTAAATAAATAAATAAATAATATTAATTTAATATTAAATAATTAAATTAATATTCCATCAATAAGAATCTTGATATCAAATAAATAATATTTTAATAATATAATTAATGCTTGTAATCTCTAAACCTAAAAAATAAATCGAAATCTATCAAAAAATTTAAAATGATCTTTGAAATAAACAAAAAGACTTTAAAAAATCCCACGAAACGATGGAAGTCCATAAAAAAAAAACTTATCAGACGATTTTACAGGCCTTTAGTCCACTTTAAAGATACCTCTATAATATACATATTTGGTAGTTGCTGAATAGTTATGTGTAAAGTGATTAAGAAGCTCTCATGATATAGTGCAAAATGAAATACAATTGTTTGATAGTTATTTACAACGAAAACAAGGCGTTGAATGCTAAACAAAATTCACCTCTTAACGATTCAAAGACTGTTTCTTAATGAAACTATTAAGAAGTAAACAAATAACTCATAACGATATCTACAGATCTATTTTTGTTGGATATAAACAGCTTAACGACTTGTAGCTTTTTATTATGAAAGAGGCATGTGGTGGAATCATAGGATTTATGGAGTCTCAAAGTAGTAATGATCAGTTTGAAGAGAAATAAGTGGCTCTATTGGTGAGGATGGTCCACAGGTGACTTTTATGCAATCACTGCTACATTTCCATTTTCTATAACCCTAAAGTTGCATGAGCTTTTCAAGGGCATTTTAGGTACATGACTTAAGTTTATAAGAAATTGTTTTATAGGACTTAAGTTTATAAGACCAGATATTTACGTGTCATATCTAGAAGTGTTGTAATAAATTTATACGACGTTTTTGGAAAAGGGATAAGTTGAGACTTTGTTTGAAGACAGTTTTTTAAGAAGCCTAACAACATTATATAAATTTACTACAACAAACCTTTTTAGAGGCACTACAATAAAATTGTCTTTAGGACGCCTAAAATATCTAAGCGTCTTAATAAAATACTTTATAGGACCAAACCAAAAAAAATGTCTTATTTATATAAAACATTTGTAGACGTTTTAACAATTTCTTAGGACGTTTTCAAAATAAAAATGTCGTATTAACTATTTTATGCGACACTATTTGAAGAAGTGTCTTATAATCATAAGTGTCCTATAAAAAGATGAATTTATATGACAGTTCTCAAAAGCATACTATAAAATAGCTAACACAACACTTCGTTTTAAAAACATCTTTAAAAACTTGTTAAAACGTCATAAAGTGTCATGTAAACCTATTATAACGCTTTTAGATATGATGTTTTATAATTTAGTCCAATAAACCCAATTTTGTTGTAACGAGCATCCATATAAACTTATTACAACACCTTTAAATTAAACACACAAGTGATTGGTCCTATAAACTTGAGTCCTATAAAGTAATCTATATATCAAGACCCTCAAACATTTTTGGTGTCCTATAAACCCGATTCTATTACACTGCATTGCACTAACTAGTGGGTGAGTTGAAAAACAGAAGATTTCACAGATCCACTTTGACATTATCTTCTTGTATTTTCAAACATCCTCATTGTATCCTGACCATTTTGCTCTGAAAATTCCACCATTTTTTTTCAGAAAAAAAGTGGTCTAAAAAGACTGACCCCTCTCAGATCATCTAATCTACTATGGGACCATTTGGTTCTTTGTTACACCAACTCTTTAAAACCCTTCAAGAAACCATCATTCTCCATGCAAAGATATCAACTTTATACCACAAAACACACTTTTCAACTTTCTTTTTGTTCAATCAGATGTAAATCTTGATTAATTAACAGAAAGATCCAAGATTTCCCCCCACTGCCCTATTTCCATGCTTCTAACAAGGGATACACACCCACATACTTTGTAGCCACATATCAGGAGAATCTTTCATCAAAGATAAAACCCTTTACTACTGCTTATTCTTCTTGTTCTTCTTTTCGCTAGCTCGTTACTGGTTCGTCTCGATCAAGAACTCATCGGAAGAAGACGTAGAGATGGTCAAAGACGATCATCATCAGGTTCTTCGCCTTCTCCTTCGTTCGTTTATCTGTGTTTCTGGTTTCTGGTTTAGGGTTTCATTGCATTAACTTGTTCGATCTTGATCTGGTTTCGTTGTAGTTGGTTGTTCACGGGTTTCTTTTCTGGGTTTCGATGGGTTTCTTGATTCCTATTGGGATCTTGACCATCAGATTGTCGAATAGAGAAGAACGTGGAAGAAGGGTCCGAATCATATTCTTTATCCATGTTGTTACTCAGGCAAGTTTTTTCGGTTAATTTGATGCATTTTTCCAATCATTTTACGTTTGATTAACATCGTTAATTACCTTATAAATCCTACTTTTTTCAACTTTAATGATGTTTATTAAGAAATTAGAGTAGATTGTAATGATTGTCATGATACTAGTTGAAGGGAAAGAAAACATATTGGTTTAAAAGTTTCTAGCTTTACTGTTCTTGTTCTTTTTAAGTATTCCCATATTAGAAATAGAAAAAAGTACTAGTTCTAACTATAAACCGAACTAAACAATCCTAGTATATCCCACCAGATATGGCGTTTGAACGTGTGTGTGATGTATGCAGATCTGTCCTTAGTTTCAGCTATGAAAACTGGTCATGTATCACATGGTAGTACTAGCATGTATCAAGATTTATCCCTTCATATTTTTGGGCTCCTTGGTTGAATGACGATGAGGAAATGCATTTGTGCGCGGTTTGTATGTGATACTGATATCTGTTCTGTCTGGTTTTACCCATTGCAGGTGCTATCGGTAATTCTTGTAACAGCGGGAGCGGTATTGTCTTTAAAGAATTTCAGCAACGCTTTCAACAACACGCATAGGAGAATCGGGGTAGCACTTTACGGCCTTGTATTCTTGCAAGCGATTAGTGGGCTTCTACGTCCAGAAAGGTAAACAACAAGCGATTTTACCCAAAAAGATTTATTGAAATCGTGTTTTGAGCCGAATTTCTCTCTTTGTCACATTTTTCACGATCCGGGGGTTTAATCTGCTTTACTCTTTGGAGTAGAAGTCAGGTCTATGTACATCTTACCCTCTCTAGACCCCACATCCAGGTAGGATATACCAAGTTTGTTTGATTTTCGTGTTTGAGATAGATTTCACGTAACAGGGGGGCTAAGAGACGAAATATATGGTTTTTCGCACATTGGGTACTAGGAACCATCGTTTCCGTTATGGGAATCATCAATATATACACCGGGCTACAAGCATACCAAAGGAGAACATCAAGAAGTATAAAATCTTGGGTCGTATTTTTCACAGCCGAAATCGTATGCATCGGGTTCTTGTATTTATTTCAAGAGAAGTGGGAGTACATACAAAAGCAAGGTGTAGTTCGGGGGAATGAGCCTACGACGACAATACAACCAACGAATAACCGAGAGATTTTGACCAAACAGAATAAAGATTCATGTTGATCGGAAGCAAGACTGTGTACATCTTATCTTTCTCAATCTGCAATTACTACGTCGAGTTGTTCAAATGCCTTCAAACCAATCAAACAGAATAAAGATTCGTGAGATTTACTGGTTTCTTTTGGATTTGTTTTTATTAACCCATTGAATGTGGGGTGGTATCCTAACTATTTGATGATAGTTGCAAAGGTTTTGCTTGTTTGATATTTTCTTGTCATTTTCAAAGCAATTTCCTACTTATGATTTGAAATTGAAATTTTTCCCTCTTTGTAACATCATGTTTTTTCTTTATATATAAGATTCATGTTCATTGACCCATTTCTTGTTTTTCTGTTCACTATTTGTGTAATGTAAAGCCATAAAGGTGACAATTTAATCTTATTGGTCGTCTTTGTTGAGGTGACAAATAAATGGATGAAATTAAAAAAAATTGTAATACCAGAAACATAAACAGTAAGGGGTGTTTGGTTAGAGGTATTAAGCATTAATTAATAGAAATGAAAATTAAAAAACTGTTGGTGTTCAATAATATAATAGGTTCATTCCTCCTGAAGCCCAAAATTTTATTACTGGTTAAACAGGGGAATGAAAATTCATTCTCATTTTCATTCCCTGTCATTTTTATTTTTCAGCATTAGCAAAACAGACCCTTGGTTAGAATGATTTAAAGTAGGAGTGTACAAAACCCAACAAACCGACTTATAACCCAACTCGGAAAAACCAAATCGGAGGTAACCCGGAACATAATCTATATATATATATATATATATATATTAAAGGAGAAACCAAAGTTGATGACTTGGCTTCTTCTAAAGGTTAGAAACTTATTTATCTTTTTTTTTATTCATCATTTTTTAATCTTTTTTTTTTAATTTTTATAAACATTGATTATTCATTTATGTTTGCATTTAACATAATTCTTTCATTTTCCCTAACTCTTCTTCATGAATTGTTCATCATTCAATCTATTTTTCTCTATCTCCATCACTGGTTTTTCTCTCACACCCTCTCAACTTCTATCTCAATCCTATACATCAATAAATTTACTTTCTTTCTCTTTGGTTTTTCTTCTATTTTACTATTAATGATATTCATAGGTTTTTTTATTTTTTCACTTCTCCCGTAATTTTATGTATGTTTGTATCGTTATTTAGATTGCATTATAGTTTTTATGCATTATGTCATGAAGATTTGAAGAAGTTTTCAAGTTCAATATTTGATTTTTTTTGTTGCAATATAAAGTAATAATTTTATATTGATTTGTTTCATGATTTTGATTGCATTATAATTTTATTTATGTTTGTATCGTGATTTTTGTTTGCAATATAACTCTTATGTATTAATCAATGATAAAAAATATTCAAGTTCACTGTAATTTTTACTTATGTTGAACGTTTTTTGGTTTGCAGGTTTTCGAGTTCTTTAACGTTTATATATCAAGTCTTGAAAATTTGAAGTTTTCAAGTTTGGGTTGTGGGAATTTATGATTATGATCTAAGGTAAGAATTTTATGCAAGTTTGTTTTGTAATTTATAGTGTATTATAATGTTATGTATGTTTGTATCAAGATTTTGATTGAATTATATTTTTAAGTATGTTTTTATCGTAAGTTTAGTCGTATTATAATTTTATGTATGTTCATGTTGTGATTTTGATTGCATTATAATTTTATCTATTGGGTTATAAAGATTTGAAGTCTTTTAAGTTTGGTATGTAATTTTTTACATATCGTATAATTGGTCTATTCACTATTGTGTTTTTAAAGTCAAGGTGTGTGTTGAGAATGAAAAATGATACATGTACATCATCCTTTGAAGGAGACATATCTTTACGTGAAATATTTTTTATTCTTGAGTTTGTATCAGATTCCTTAATATTCCCATCATTGTTATTACTCATTTTATTTAGTTTTACATTCTTATTACTAAACAAATCTCTCTCTCTCAATATATATATATATATATATATATAAATATTAAATTTTCACTAACTATATTTTATTTAACTTTTTTGAATTATTTGAATATGATTTGTTGATGATTCTATTAACAATTAATATATATTTATATAGACAATCTTCAGATTATTAATCAAAATACGCATACTACTGCTCAATGCGCTGTTCCCATACTAATTGATATAATATAACATCAATCTGTGGCTATTGAGTTGTTGAATCGTTCAAATACATATGAATTGTTTTATTAATAGAAAGAGTAAATTGCAATTTTGGTCCTTGTGGTTTGTTTTTTTTGGATTGGGTCCTTATAAAACCTTTTTTTGCAAAAAAAAAAACCCTATGGTAGTGCTAAAAAAGTGTAAAGGTCATTTTACTTTTTGCAATTTACTCTAAAAAAATTGTACCATTGTTTTAATAATAGTTTTTTTAATTATATCATTTATAAATTTTGAAAAACAACAGAGAAAAAAATATTGACGGGTCAACCCAGTCCACCCAACCAATCTTAAAATTTTACTATTTTGGTTCGAACCCATTTTAACATGTTCAACCAGACCACTTTACCATTTATTCTAGAATAAACAAACAAAAATCGTCAAAAAACTTGGGCAAAAGCGTATTAATTAATGACTTAGAGCTTGCTCGTTTGCCATGCGCCTAATAGCACTCGACAAGCTTATATAACCAAGATCCAAGAGGTCAGGGATTCAATCCTCACAAAATACGAGTACGAGTTTATTTGCCGTATACAAATAAAGGGTCAATCACTAATCTACCATTTTTCATTGATCACTTTATTGTTTTTACCCCTAATTAACAAAAAAAAGCCTTAGTTAGCAGATATACTACCAATGAGATAAGAGCCTACAAAAGCCAAGCCAAACCGAGCTTGTAAAAGCAAGTATCAAAGCTTTATACAAACGAGCCTACAAAAGTAAGGCTCAAAAACTGGTTTGAGCCTTACTTTTGTAGGCTTGTTGAAATAATAACAGATCTCGAAAACCAACTATAGATTATATTCTATAAAATTATCCCGAAAAGAAAAATGTATGTCATTTACACCTAAAATATCCGAGTAATCAAGTTGCATGCGTACCGAAAAAAAGATTCAACTTTCTAAGCATTCGGTAGGGGGTCTACCGCGTAGTAAATTATCATACTCTCGAGAACCCTACATTTATAAAGTTATATGATCATAATACACATTCAAGTCGGGTATGCGCGATATTTGCTTTACAAGAATGAAGGTATCACCAATCATCAGGGTCAAGCCCACAAATAGCTCAGAGAAATGGCAGAAAAACACAATGAGAAGTTGAAACCATCATGTTGCCTCCTGTAATTGAGGTGCCTGCATAAAGAGGTACTGAAAAAAAAAGAGTAGATTAGGGTCTTTCTGATAGTAGCTTCGTCAGCTAAACATGACTGTTCGGTAATGGCTAAATGATATAGAAGTGGCTTAGGGCTTGTTTGTTAACATCTTAATGAGCTTAATGTGACTCACAGTTTACACGGTTAGATATACATGATTGTTTGGTAGTGGTTTAATGACACAGAAAGTGGTTTTTTCAATAAGCTTCTAGCGTTGGTTGTTATGCAGAAAGCAAAGTTTTTTTTTCCAAATCTGCCCCTCCTAATTAAAAAACACGCTCCAAAAATTCACTCAAACAAAACTTTCAATCTATACAGATTGATTAATCCACATAGACTGTTTTATCCATACAGGACTTGATGAAAAACCAACCAAATAGCACCTTATTTGGTAAAAGCTTCTAAGAGGGAGAGCTTTATGCAGAAAACCAAGTTTTTTCCAAACATGTCCCTCCTAGTTAAAAAACAAGCTCCTTCCATCTATTAAGAACCCCTCCCAAAACAAAAACATTCCCAATCTATATTAGATAGATTAATACACACAAACAACTTTATCCATATAGAACTTAATGGAAAACCAACCAAACAACCAACCATTACGAAAATGATACAGTTTCTCATTTAATCATATCTTGGATTACCTCAAATGATTTGCCGGATCGTTCAAAATCCAGCATGCTTAGAGCAACTTCACAGCTCTGTGAAACAATGGGCTCTGGGTCCTTGGAAAATTCTTCAAGTAGAGAGATACATTGGTCATCTATTAACACAACAAAAATGAAAACCGTGTCAAACTCATAAGAATATCAAAATTTTGAAGTAGGAATTAACTTTCTGGAAACACTAAGAACGTATTTGGCAACCATAAGCTAGCTTATTGTTTAGATTTATTGAAAAAGCCTCGTTTGGTTAGTCATAAACTAGCTTTCTAAAAACATACTTCAAGTAACGTTTCAATAAGCTCCAAGTATTTTTTACCACTTTTTTCCAAATATACCCCTTACTACTTTTCCAATTGAGTTTTCAATATATACTTTTAGATCATTTTATATTGTCACTTAGCTTATCAACCAACAACTAGTTTATCAAGTATAGCCTCAGGATGTGTTTGCTACTATGGACAGTTAAAAACAGAATAGGGATCACTGTTCCACGTTTGACAGGACTACTATGTGGAACAGAGGTAACAAAGTGGAACAGAGGTGTTCCACCTCCACCCCATGGAACGGACTTATATTTTACCTATATAACCTCAAAATAAAGCCTAATTCTATTTTAAAACATCAAATACGTCTCTCTCTTTACATTTTATTCATTCTTTAAATTTTATTTATAGTATTTTATGCTCTTTAAACTTTTACTTTACTGTCCTCAAAATATTAGAGGGTATTTGGTTCATGGATTTTGAAGGAATTGGAATGGATAATTCCTTTGACAAAATTCCAAATCCTATGTGTGGTTCACATAATGAAATGTAGGAATCCTTTGAATTCCATTGAATTCCACAAATTAAAGAATCCATCATTCCTTGGCATAAGTGAAGAAATTGAATTCCATTTCTTTCCATCGAACCAAAAGCGTGGTAAAATTCCATAAATTCCATTCCAATTCCTTCAAAGTCAAATTCCTTTGATGGATCCAATTCCACCAAATTCCATTTCGCGAACCAACTTATACGGTTTCTTTATTTTGATTAATTTATGTAATTTATTAAATATTAACAATAAAAAAATATATATAGAAAAGCTATAAACTGAAAACTACATAAAGTTTTATTTTAGTGTCATTTTAATTGTCTTGACGAAAACTTTCTGATGATATATTTTCTTATAAAAAATATTTATTTTATTATAACTTAATAAATTAATCAAAATATATAAACAACCCATCATGAGTAAATTGGTCATCTTATCTGTTCCGTCCTCTACAGCTTTGTCTTAGTGTTTACCAAACGCCGAACAACTGTTTTGTCCTATCTGGATACCAAACACACCCTAAATGTACCTAATGTTAGGTTCTATTGTATACACATTCTAACATTAACCACAATGCAACCTCAATCTAGTTTGACACTATGTTTTGCACCAGATATACAGTAAGTAATCAAACCTGCAATAGAACCCAGAGCCTCAGCAGCTTCATGTCTAACCATAGGATGCTCATTCACATCTTTAAGTATCCTCGAGAGTGCATCTGAAGCAGATTTGTTTTGCAACTGCCCCAAGACATACGCAACCTGAAATCCCAGGAAAATAGTTAGCCTACATAAAGGAGGATATGAGGTAACAGAATCATGATTTAAGAAAGAAGCTCGTTGTCAACCTCATGTCGTAATAAAGCACTTTTTGCATTTAAAGATTCTATTACGGCAGCAACTGCTTCATCACCTCCATGATTTCGTAGTCCAAAAAGAGCTCCATATCTCTCATACATACCCTTTTCTTCATTTAAAATGACTTCCCTGTATGAAATCAAAGTCGGCTAGATATATCATCAATGATCAAACCTTGTTTCGTGAAGATTTATAACAAATGGACCCATCATCCCAAAATTATCAGCTTCTTTTGGGTGTGTTTGGTACACGGACTAGGACAGAACAAAAACTTGTTGTCCAATGTTTGGCGCGACATAAGACTGGGACAGGACTATGTGGGACAAAAATGCATCTTTTTTCCCACCAAAATAGGTGGAACAAAAATCAAGAAGATGGGACGATATTGGTAAACTACTAAACTACCAATGTCAGTTTAAAACCCTACAACCTTCCACAATTCTTTCACCTACCTATCTGACTCTCATCTATCCCATCTTGTCCTATCCGTTGGTGGAAGATATTTATAAGGATATCCTATGACAAAGAGGTAGATGTGACGCCCCCGGCCCCTTAGACCAACGGAGCATATTGGCTCAATAACCTCAAAATCAACTTAAAACCATGGTGAAAGTTATTAGTATCCCACAACTTTGAACTTATAAGGCGATCACATATATACTTTTCTATCCATGTGGGACGGATTGTCATAGCAGCATATAAAGTTGTGGCGAGACTTAAATTCCTATCACATTATGCAACAAACCTTAATTTATGTACAGAAGAGCAAGAAGCAGGTGCAGCTGGATCAACAGACAGAAATGGCGACGCCGCTGTTGTGGATGATTGATGATTATCACCAGCATTCTTCAGCTCCTGAATTCGAGAAAGAGCTAATTCACATGTCTCCCTAACCTCTTGTGCCGGATCTGAATCCAAACTGTCCTTCAGAAGAGGAATATTACTCTCTAAACCTATAGCACCAAGAGCTTCTGCAGCCTATTCGTCAATAAGTAATACAAGCAAAAGACAACCGAAATATTAGCAAAACATAAGAAGCATTGCTGGAAAAGTATAGAAAAACAAAGGGAAAGAATGCAAGTGCCGGAGAAAAGTCCACCTCATGACGTACGATAGGATGCAAAGAAAGATCATTGAGAACAAGCTTCAAAGCAGGAATAGCATCGGCATCTTGCATTTGGCCCAAAGCAAAAGCAGCCTCATGTGCCAACAGATTCGAAGAATCTCTTGTTGCTGCAATAGAAAAAAGTTATCTCTCTTAAAACTATTATTAAGACTATGAGGGTCCGCTTGGTAAGTGGGACAAAACAGAACATGACACACCAATTTAGGGGCGATGTTAGACTGGAACTGAACATGGCTAGATGGGGAAAAAATCACCAAAAACGGTGGAACAAAAACCAGACAGATGGAACAAGAATGACAAAGTACTAAACTACCCATCTCAAATTAGAACCCTAAAACCTTCCATAATTCTTCCCCTCTCACCCGTCCGGTTGGCTAGTTCTCGGAGAAGATGACTTAAAGGGCTGTTTGGTTGGTTTTCCATTAAGTTCTGTATCGACAAAGTTGTCTGTGTGGATTAATCTGCCTGTATAGATTGGGAAGGTTTTTGTTTGAGATGCTTGCTTCATAGATGGAATGAACATGTATTTTAATTGGGAAGGGTGAGTTTTGGGAAAAACCAAGTTTTCTGCATAAAGCTCCCCCTAGAAGCTCGCTGAAGAAGACACTTTCTATGTCATTAAACCACTACCAACCATTACCAAACAGTCATGCAGAGCTGACCGAATAAGCTGCAAGTCTCATCAACCTCACTAAGCTGCTAACAAACAAAGACTCATCACACAAAGCATGCAAGATAGTGATTTTTTATGCTAAAAAACTACTGTCGTAAACTTCGATTAACTTCCATGAAATACAGGAGGCAAAAATAACTTTGTACAAGGTAAATTCAACATTTCTCTTCCTGCAAACACATCATACCCTCATAAATGTATTCCCTTTTCTTCTCTCTCAGAATAATATGCTGGAGATTTAGATCAATAATTCAGCATCATTACTGAAATCATGCAATCATTGCTCACGTTCTTACCAACAATTGCTGAAGGAAAACTTCAAACCATCAATGCTACTTATAAGGTCGCCAGTTTAAGTGTTTAAGTTCGAAGTAGGGTCATAATCAAGCACAGTTCATAATCATCTCCAAAGCAAAAAAAATTATCGTAGAGAGAATAAAACCCACGTAAATTATTGAACAGACGGAGAGAGGTAGAGAGTGAACAGACCAAGTATTAAAGCATTGCGAGGAGCAGGACCTCGCAGATTCCGGAGAGAGAAGAGGACTCTGAACCGCTCCGAAATCGGTTGCGTTTGGTCCAATAATCGCTCGCAAAGAAATTTCTCTGTCTCAGGAGTGACTTCGAACGAATTTCCATCAACCGCCATTTCCAACTTGAGCTTAAAGCTTGTAATTTTAAAAAAAATGGAGGTAAAGTGGAGAGATCGAATTGCCAAAACCCTAACTTTTGCAACGAATTCAGCGTGTTGGGCCAAATACTGCGGGATAGCATTTAAGTTGGCTTACGATTGCAGCCATCGTATATTTTCTGATTTGGTCCTTTTACTTTTGAAAAATGCTACTTATGTCCTAAACAATTCACATTTCACTCATAATAAGTCACAAAATATCGTACACTTCTACTTCAAATTTGACAAATTTTTTGTTCTTTGAAAAGGTAGATATAAGAGAGAGTTAAAACGAGAACGTTATTGTATTATATAAACGTCAGAACGTTCATATCACATGCGATACTGAATTAGAGGTGAGGCAACCTTTGGCGTGAGCCAAATTGCTCACACACCACCAACCGCAAGTCGCCTCACGTGTATTATTACATGTGATATGAGTGTTCTCGCACTTTCGTGAAATGTTCGTGTTCTCATTTGTACCCATCCCAATGGATTTAATGTATATAGAGGACGACGAAGCATATGGAAGGGTTAAAAAAGTCATCCAATAATGCAAACGTTAAAAATGTAACTAATTTTTTTAAATGTAGTTTCATTTATACCAAAATGATAGAAATAACGTCTTAGGGGCCTTTTACCAAACAATTACCCGGTAAGAGCTTACCGGTTAAATTTAACACTATCATTTACTTATCGGCTAAAATTTTAATCTATCAAAATGGTATCATATGCAACAATTTACTTGGTAAGTGCTTACCGTGGTAAGAGTCGTCGTCATCACTTAACGGGTAAAACTCTTGGTCTTTCTCTTGCACTTATCAGGTAAGATTTTTGGTCCTTACCATATCATCTGGTAAGTAAACGATAATGTTGAATTTTACATGTAAGTGCTTACCGGGTAAATGTTTAGGTAAACGACCCCTTAATCAAAGTTAACCGTAGGATGATATTAGATTTTATATTTAATATCTGCTTTTTTCCGAACCACTTTTGAAGTTGGATCGGAGATTATTCAAAAATTTAAAGTTAACAAACACCTAACAATAGTTCAAGGTCTTTTTGGTAAAATACCCATAGATGAAGGGTCCTTCCTGGACAGTATAAAATGATGAAACAAAACAACCGAAATATATTCCGAATCAGTCATCGGAGCAAAATCGGCCACCGGCGATAATCGTTTAATGGCAATTCGAGTAACGATACGTGCAAGAATCAAAGAACACAGCACACAATCCACTGAAATTCGTTTGTCGTCAAACCCTAAAGGTACGTGAATTAAAATCCTCTTTGATTACAACTTCTCTTTGATGATCCGATCAGATCCGATGCTATGATCATAATCAGATTTCTCTTTTCGTCGCGTTTTGTGCGTGTTCCTAAGCGTTCGATTTGGAAAAACAATTATAAGGAGAGAGAAATGAATTTTGTAGGGTTTTTTGAGGATGGGTTTGAGTAAAACCGAAATCAATCTGAGAAGATTGCTAGCAACTGCTCCACGGCAACAAAATAAAATCAAGCTTGTTCACGTACGTCTTCTAAACATCGGTTATAGTTTCTTGCTATCGTTAATCCCCCATTTCAATTTACATCTATATGAATCACATGAGTTGTGGATTTGGGAAATGTAGGTTCACACTTGTATGAATTTGATCTGGGGATCTTGTTTGCCACAGAATTATGCCTGTAACTTGTGGATTTCTTGTTTCTCTAAGTCAGATGCAAAATTATGGAGTTTTGAAGCACAATTTCGATTTTGTTCTTCATTTTTAGTGCCATTAGTGATTTCAGATTATGGGTTGTGGAGATTCTTTTGTGATATTTGGTTATGAATGTGTAATACTTTGGTTATTTTTGCAGTATGTTGCTACTTTAAGAGAACAGTTGGAAGAACTCGCCACAGAGCAAACTCCAGAAGGATTTCCCAGGCTCGATTTCTTTACTTTCTTCGTCAGTTCGTTTGTGTGTTCTATGGCATCTGAGAGTTGCACAAAATGCTTAATCTGATAAGATTATAGTTTTGATCTTGTGCCGTAGAGTTTCAAAGGCTATGGTGAATGATTACTCGCATAAAATTGAAGCAATTGCAGCCAAACTGGCTAGCTCTGTGGTGTGTATGTTTCTATTTGTTACACTGGATTTACAATTTCTGTTTCTGAAGTTGATCTTATGGATGTTTTGACTGATCTTCATAATGAAGTGACACTTTCTTGTGTTCAGTCAAGTTATTCACATGTGAAACCTTCATCTTTTTAACAAATTCTTGTGTTCAGTCAAGTTATTCACATGTGAAACCTTCATCTTTTTTGCAAATTCTTGTGTTCGGTCAAGTTATTCACATGTGAACCCTTCATCTTTTTTGCAAATTGTTCAACTTCATTCACGATATATGGTTTTCTAAACAAACCTTAGATGGTATATAATTATATGTTGGTTAACATTCTTGGCAGTCGGATACTGTACCGTATCACGAGCTTAGAGTTAAAACATCTGTCAAAGAAAACATCGGTAAAAAAGAAGAAGAAAGTATCACCCTTTCGCCGGGGTTGAGAAGAAGACTCGTGTGAGCATAAACTAGATATAAAGTCTTGTTGATTTAGCTTTTTGTCTTACGATTTCAATTCTTGATCATAGTTATTTCATCATGATTCAACAGGCCTTCATCAGCTGAACACAGAGGTCAAGATACTTTTGAATCGTCTGAATCATCTCCTGTCAAATTGGATGCTGCAGCCCAATCACATATTGCAAAACACAGGTACTTCATGCCTAAAACCAAATATCTAATCTAAACCAGACAAACCTAGTATATCTCATCTGAAGGTGGGGTCCAGGAGGTTGAAAATATATGCAGATCTGACATCCATTCTAAATAGTAGGGGGGTTGTTTCCCAGAAGATAAAAACCAATATCTCATCTAAATCAAACAAAACAAGCCCGATATATCCAATATGAAGGTGGGGCCTTGGGGTTGAGAGTTGAGATGTATGCAAACCTGAAATCCACCCCAAATAGTAGAGCGGCTTTTTCCCTAAAAGACAAAAAAATCTTAACCAAACAAAACAAGCACAGTATATCCCGTCTGAAGGTGGGGTTTGGGGGTTTGAGATGTATATAGACCTGAATCCACCCTAAATAGTAGAGTGGATTTTACCCTGAAGACAAAAATCAACATTTTATCTAAACCAAACAAACCTAGTAAATCACATCTAAAGGTGAAGGTGAAGGTGAGTTCTGGGAGGTTGAGATGTATGCAAATCTAACATCCATCCCAAATAGCAGAGGTGTTGTTTCATGAAGACAAAATCAATGTCTTATCTGAACCAAATTAAACCAAATAAGCCCGGTATATCTCATCTAAAGGTGGGCTCTAGGAGGTTGAGATGTATGCAAACGTGACATTCACCCCATATAGTAGAACAATTGTTTCCCATAAGACAAAAACCAATGTCTCATCTAAACCAAACTAAACAAGCCCAATATATCCTACACGAAGGTGGGGTCGCGGGTTGAGATGTACGCAAACCTGACCTACACCTCAAAGAGTAGAGCGACTATTTCCCTGAAGACAATGTCTAATCTATGGAGCACAAATGGTCGTTTTTTTTCTTTTAATAGGAAGCTTCAAGAAGATTTGACAGATGAAATGGTGGGTTTGGCGCGGCAACTCAAAGAGAGTAGTCTTATGATGAACAAATCCATACAAAATACCGAGAGAGTAAGTTGTTAGAAGTCGTACTCCAATCTCATTTACGTTTGAGGTTCGCCTAGACCTTTTGGTATTAAAATTCGGCTCGCAATTTGAGTGCAGATTCTTGATTCAACCGAAAAAGCAGTTGAACATAGCTTGGCAAGCACCGGGCGAGTCAATAAGCAGTCTACGGCTATATACAACGAGAGTTTCAAGACTTCATGCTTCACATGGCTCGTGATGGTTGTAATGATGTGTATCTTCGTCATGGTGGTTCTTCTTATTAAAGCGACTTGAAGTCCGGTTTGGTAGTTTTAGCCAAAGCTTCGTTTCTTGAAGATGAAACCCTTAAAAAGAATTTGATAAACGAAAGAAAATTGAGGAGACTAGGCATATTCGGCATGGAAAACTTGTCGGTTTTTGGGAAGTTCGTTATGTGTATTCCTTTCGGATGTTGTCACGATAAATTTGGAGTTTCGGCTTAATCAAAAGTGTAAATGGTTCGGTTTTTGATTCGATAATGGTTGAAACCAAGAATTACGCTCTCTTTAACCGTTCCAAATTTTTGAAACCGCACTAGATTGTTGATGTGAGGTAATCAAAATCATTATCATTATCATTATCATTATCATTATCATTAT